TCATGGAAGCTCATATATCTGTAAAGCAATTCATTCTTATCCAAATAATAAGATTTTGATTACCAAAAAAGTGCTAACATTTTAAAGTTGACATTACCCTTACCGATTTGCTTTCCCACCAAATCTCAGCTCCACTGTATTATTTTAAACATTAAAAACAGCCCTTTCAGATGACACAAAGAAATATTTTTATTTTTCTAAATGTGACACCACCAAATGGACAAAACTAAACTCCAAAACTGAATGTTTACTACAAAAAGAACCCCCATCCCCACCCCACCCGCAACAAAATAGAAATGAGTTGCTATATCTTTTTCCAGGATGTAGCTTTCATCCCATTATTAATCGGGCTTAAGACTGCTGTCCTATATATCCATATGCTTTTCCCAGAGACAAGATCCTTTTTATTCTGTTCCACTACAGAATTAACTGAAAACAAGATGCAGGAAATGCATGTCTGATCTTTCCAAATACCCAAGCAGAAGTTTGTTTTTTAGCTAATTGCTTTTGATCTACAGAAGATAGCATGATTTATTCACGTATGTCGGGATAAAAAATAAAGAATATAGCATCTAGGTTCAAAACTTCACTTGACCAGATTCTTGCTGGTAACATTAGCTTAAGCAACTATCTTCCAGCTTTAAGTATCTGGTAGAATTCTTCAGAGGATAAAATTGGGGAAAGAACTCACATAGAGTCTAGACTTATCCTTCTTCTTGGAAAAACAGGACACTTGCAAATAAATCCAACTGAGATCATTTTTGAGATCATTTTGTTTCTTGGAGTGCTACAATTAAAACCAACTCTGGGAGATGGTCACCCAGAGTTGCCTTGTGTGACATTGGGGGGGGGGGGGGGTATAAATGTGACAAATAAAAAAAATAAAAAATTAAAAAATTAAAAAGATTAGCCCATCTGAAAAAAGTGTATCATGGAAGGCTTTTTAGTGCTTTCTCTCGACCTTTCTTCCACCAGAAATTTAAGTCAATAGTTAGTATCTAAGCAAATCAAAATTCTAGACATTAAAGGCAATTGTTTGCTTTTAACAAATCAACGGTACTAACTATCCTTGTACATTTAGAATTATAATTCTTTATTGGCTAAGTGTGATTAGACACACAAGAATTTGTCTCCGGTGCATAAGCTCTCAGTGTACATACAACAATAGCAATAGATCATTATCATAGTCAGTGTAAAAATACATTCATCATAAAACATTAGATGCAACGCTTGGAGATAGTCTAGGTGCAATTCAAGGTGTTGGCTATCACCTTGAAAGCCTATCATGACATGGGTCCAGGCTATCTAAGAAACCAGCTGACCCTGATGGGATGAGCCTGCCCCACCCATGCCGCAGAAAGGGCATGCTGAAGATCCCGTCAGTCAAGGAACTTCAGCTGGTGGGTCCACAATAATTTTTTCTGACATGGCTCTTGGTCTCTGGAACACCTTCTCCCCTCCTGAGGTCAGATCTACTCCCATCCTTTCGGCTTCCTGAAAGGCCTTGAAGACATGGCTGTGACAACTTGTCAGGGGCCCCAATGGGGTATGGGACTTTGGAGGTGGCTAATAGGGTAGGTAACAGCTCACTGCTTGCCTGGGAGCATTTTACTCCCTCCTGCTAGTTTTATTTTAACTGAATTTTAAATTTAAGGTCCTTATTTATTGTTTTCATGTTTTAGAGTGTATTTTATTCAATGTCTGTAAGCTGCCGAGTCAGCTTCAGTGAGATGGGGGTCATACACAAATAATAGTTTGATAAACATCTATCCAACTGCACAAAGAGTTTTCCCCTTTACAGACCGGATGTGTTTTGACGCCAGTGGTCTAACTCACAGATCTAAGATTCAATTTTGGGCATAAGCATAATTGCATGCAGTTGCTAGGGTTCATGGATGATTTGTGAATTAGCACAACTTCCAAAGAGATTCTGTGGAAAAATTAACAGGATCCACACCTCAGTTTTCTGAGGTGTCGGATCGACTACTATAATAAGTACAGGTAGTCCTCAACTTAAGACCACAAATTTATGTTGCTTAGTAGGAAATTTGTTAAGTGAGTTTTGCCCCATTTTACGACTTTTCTTGCCATATTTGTTAAGTGACTTTGCTTGTCAGGAGGTTGCAAAAGGTGGATTGCATGATCCCAGGATGTTGCAACTGTCATAAATGAGAGAGTCGGCTGTCAAGCACCTGAATGTAAAACATGATCATGAGGATGCTGCAAGGGTCATAAAGGTGGAAAAATAGTGACAAGTCACTTTTTTTCAGTCCACTAAGTGAACTGCTGCAAGTTGAGGACTGCCTGTAATTCATGCAAACGGATGGCAAAACAATGTCTATGGAGATTCTCAGTCATCCAGGTCATGGTTGGCCCAAGGGTGCTTTTTTTTTTTTTTTTAAGAGGCAATTGGATTTTCTGGACCAGCATGAGAAAAGTTCATTTTCTCCTCCTATCCTTACCACTTTCTCTAGGGCACTTGACAGCTTTAAGACTTGTAGACTTCAACTCCTAGAATTCCTCCTCCAGGCACGTTAGTTCAGGAATTCTGGGAGTTGAAGTCCACAAAGTCTTAAACTTGCCAAGTTTGAAGACCCTTGCTCTAGAGGGACAATCGAGAGCATCCTGTCAGATTGCATTACACTCTGATTTGGAAACATTACTGCTTCAGAGAGCGGTGAGGATGGCAGAAAAGATCATTGGCAGGTTACTCCCTTCTATCCAGGACCTATCACATAAGAAATGCTTAGGCAGAGTCTACGGGATTATCTGAGATGCTACACATCCTCTTCATGACCTCTTTTTCCTTGTTACTTTCTGGGAGGAGGCTTCCTGGTGCCCGAAGCAGAACATCCAGATTCAGCCTCAGTTTTGTCCCAGACAGCATCAACCTTGTGAACTCTCAAGTTTCCTCTTTTTGCTACGTACTCAAAATGGACAGTAATTTATATTTATATATAAATATACGTGTGTGTGTGTGTGTGTGTGTGTGTGTGTATACACTGCTCACAAAAATAAAGGGAACACTTAAACAACACAATGTAACTCCAAGTCAATCCCACTTCTGTGAAATCAAACTGTCCACTTAGGTAGCAACACTGACTGACAATTTCACATGCTGTTGTGCAAATGGAATAGACAACAGGTGGAAAGCATAGGCAGTTAGCAAGACATCCCCAATAAAGGAGTGGTTCTGCAGGTGGTGACCACAGACCACTTCCCAGTTCCTATGCTTCCTGGCTGATGGTTTGGTCATTTTTGAATGCTGGCAGTGCTTTCACTCTAGTGGTAGCATGAGACGGAGTCTCATGCTCAGGTAGTGCAGCTCATCCAGGATGGCACATCAATGCGAGCTGTGGCAAGGTTTGCTGTGTCTGTCAGCGTAGTGTCCAGAGCATGGAGGCGCTACCAGGAGACAGGCCAATACATTAGGAGACGTGGAGGAGGCCGTAGGAGGGCAACAATCCTGCATCAGGACCGCTACTTTCGCCTTTGTGCAAGGAGGGACAGGAGGAACACTGCCAGAGCCCTGCAAAATGACCTCCAGTGGGCCACAAATGTGCATTTGGCTGCTCAAACGGTCAGAAACAGACTCCATGAGGGTGGTATGAGGGCCCGACATCCACAGGTGGGGGTTGTGCTTACAGCCCAACAGGACGTTTGGCATTTGCCAGAGAACACCAAGATTGGCAAATTCACCACTGGTGCCCTGTGCTCTTCACAGATGAAAGCAGGTTCACACTGAGCACATGTGACACGTGACAGGGTCTGGAGACGCCGTGGAGAACGTTCTGCTGCCTGCAACAGCCTCCAGCCTGACTGGTTTGGCAGTGGGTCAGTAAGGGTGTGGGGTGGCATTTCTTTAGGGGGCCACACAGCCCTCCATGTGCTTGCCAGAGGTAGCCTGACTGCCATTAGGTACCGAGATGAGATCCTCAGACCCCTTGTGAGACCATATGCTGGTGCGGTTGGCCCTGGGTTCCTCCTAATGCACAACAATGCTAGACCTCATGTGGCTGGAGTGTGTCAGCAGTTCCTGCAAGACGAAGGCATTGATGCTATGGACTGGCCCGCCCGTTCCCCAGACCTGAATCCAATTGAGCACATCTGGGACATCATCTCTCACTCCATCCACCAAAGCCACGTTGCACCACAGACTGCCCAGGAGTTGGGGGATGCTTTAGTCCAGGTATGGGAGGAGATCCCTCAGGAGACCATCCGCCACCTCATCAGGAGCATGCCCAGGCATTGTAGGGAGGTCATACAGGCACGTGGAGGCCACACACACCACTGAGCCTCAATTTGACTTGTTTTAAGGACATTACATCAAAGTTGGATCAGCCTGTCGTGGTTTTTTTCCACTTTAATTTTGAGTGTAACTCCAAATCCAGACCTCCATGGGTTGCTAAATTGGATTTCCATTGATCATTTTTGTGTGATTTTGTTGTCAGCACATTCAACTATGTAATGAAACGAAGTATTTAATAAGAATATTTCACTCATTCAGATCTAGGATGTCTTATCTTGGTGTTTCCTTTATTTTTTTGAGCAGTGTATATATAGGTGTGTGTATGTGCATGCGTGTACATATGTGTGTGTGTGCACGTGTGCATATAGCATGTGTATATGTGTGTTATGTGTTTGGGTAGATATATGCTTTCTCTTATCTAAAGTTCAGTTGGCTCTTGGGGGGGGGGGGAAGCACCTTTGGGGGACGATGGGAGAAGTTTCAGATGATCCCCCTGTCACAAGGCGTCAATCTCCTTGGGTCCCAGCCTTAACTGTCACCTTATTACCTCCGGGTCTCCTCAGCTGCCTTCTGGCCTGTACAAAAAAACCAAGACCGAGCCTTTCTGCCCCAGACAAGAGACGTCGAGACACCCAAAGCCTGACTTCAGCTCCGCCCCTTCTCCAGGCAAGCCCCGCCCCGGCCGCGAGCCCCTGCCGCGCCCCGCCCACTCACCCTCTTTGTTCCATTCCTTCAGAGAGCGCGCGCGCGCGACGGCTCCGCCCCCCCCCACTCCCCACCACCCCCACGGGGAGGGTGAAGCTGTGGAAAGCAGCGGCGCTATCCCATCATGCACCACGCCCCCCCCATAGACAGGTAGTACACTTCTCCAGATACCCGGATGGATGGGGAGTTTTTTTTTGGGGGGGGGGGTTAGGGGGAAGGGGAAGAGATGGAGCAAACCTGCGAGAGAATTCGAGCCCCGAAAAGAGGCGAGGCCGTTGGGTTCTACGAGCTCCCCCCCTCTACCCTCTTGAGCCGTGGCGTCCTTCGTCTTTCCCCTCAGGGGGCGCTCGTCGTTTCTGCCCAGGAGTTCAGGGGCGGGGTTGGGGGGGGGGGTGTTAAGGGAAAGATAAAAGAGGCGAATGGAGAAGAAATGGAGGCACCTTCAAATGGTCGGCCCCGCCCCTCCTGCGCTTCCGACCCTTGAGGCGCACCTCGCGTAAGCAGCCTTTCAGACACGGAGGCTCCAAGCTGGCCGTTGCTTCTCGCCCTTCTTTATTCAAGTCCCTTTCTCCTTTGCCACCCCCTTCCTTTGGATACACAACAAGCGCCCCCCCCCTCATTGGCCGGATGTGATGTCACTTCCTCCGCCTGCGTGTGTTTTTTTTTTTTTTGGCGAATACCCGTTTCTACGCAAGTTCTTTCACTTCCGGCAACGACCGTAGATCTACTAAAAGTCTAGAGCGATTTCTGGCTGGGTGAACAAGGGCTCTTTTTCCTTGGAAGGCTTCTTCTCGCTCTCGTCCCTGAGGAGAAAATTTTGAAAGGGCTTTCCCTTTCAAACTGGCTTAAGAAATATTTTGTCATATTTGACGCTGTCTGTCTAAGCCTGGCTCGAGAACTGCGATGAAGCATTCTTAAGAATACTGTCTATGATATTTTAGAGAGCGAGCCTTTAAGACTTGTGGACTTCAACTCCCAGAATTCTTCTTCCAGTCATATTAGCTGAGGAATTCTGGGAGTTGAAGTCCACAAGTCTTAAAGTTGCCAAGGTTGGAGACCCCTGAATTAGAAGACTTCCAATAGCCTTTAAAATTAAACCACATACATGATGAAATTGCTAATCGATTTACTGAATAAATCTTGGCTGGGTTTGCTCCACAAACTAAAACATCAATTTTTCATACAAACCACAAGACATCCAATAGGTTTAGGGGGGTGCAATGCAACCTCTGCCTATCGGAGCCTGGCGGGTACTACAGGTAGTCCTCTACTTAAAACAGTTCACTTAGCGACCATTTGAAGTTACAACGGCACTGAAGAAAGTGACTTATGACCATTCTTCACACTTCACGACCATTGTAGCATCCCGATGGCCATGTGATTTGCATTTGGATGCTTGACTCGCATTTATGATGGTTGCAGTGTCCCAGGGTTATATGTGATTCACCTTTGCAAACTTCTGATCGGCAAAGTCTGTGGGGAAGCCAGATTCATTTAACAACCAGGTTACTAACTTAACAGCTGCAGGGATTCGCTTAACAAACGTGGCAAGAAAAGTCGTAAAATGGAGCAAGACTCCCTTCACCAACTGTCAGTTAGCAATTAGTCTGTTTCATCATTTATGTCTAGACTGTGGCTTCTAGACCTGTACATAGATTTCCCATGAGGACAATGAGATATTCTAGAATTCCCATTTATCTGAGCACATTCCACTTGATGATCATCGCAATGAAAAGCTTTTCTATGATCAACGAGCATCTATTGAGTTCATTCTATTATTTTTGTCTTTCTCTTTTTCTAAAAACTGTTTTATTGAAAATTTTAATTACAACAGTAAAAGACAATGCAAATGAACTTCAAAAAGAAAAGAAAAAATGCAAAGACAAAAGAGGAACAAATAAGAGACAGAAAAATATTTAAAGTAATGACTTTCAATTATTACAAGTACAAATTTAGTAATTTGTCATCATGTATCAGGATACTTGCAGGTGTCTCTTCTTTCTATAACTCATCCCTTATTCATGCTCAAAACAATCAATCATTAATATTTCAACGCTGGTGTTAGCAAACACTTCCTAAGGGTTCTGGAAACATGTTTTAACTTTGGTTAAACAAACTTTTGGTTCTACCAACCCTGGACTTCAATTCATTCAAATGTTGCTGTAGAATTTGATCTCTCTTTAAATTTTCTTTTAAAAGAAATTTAAAATAAAAAGACAAAATGGCAGCCAGCATAAAGAGAATGCATCAGTTAACAATCAGATAACCATGCTAAAGGCTCCATTCTACCATGTGATCTCCAAGCTCATTTACAAAACCTTGTTTTGAGGGCCATCAGAAGGCCAAAAGGGTTGGAGCCAGCTTTACTTCAGGGAGACTGAGATTCTATAAGTCGGAGGCTGCGGCAGAATAGGGCTTCCTTTTAGGACAAAATTCCATAGCTCAGTGGTAGCTAACCTTTACTGGCTCCCTCGTGCGCAGCACATCCCTGCGCTTGTGTCTCAATGCGCACCCACCCTCCACCCCCTGCGCATGCACGCCAGATACCCAACAGTCAGCTGTCAGGTAGCAGCGTGCACGCGCATGTGCAGTGGGGCTCTTCCGGGCAACCTCTCGTTTGCTGTGGGAAATGGCTCTGCGTGCCACTTTTGGCACGCGTGGCATAGGTACGCCAACACATCCATAGCTGATAGCAGCCTCACATGCTTCTCCTGTCAGATCTGATGGGACAGGTGAGAGCCACTGAGGAAAGGTAATCTCTCAAATAACAAGGGTCTCATGCCATGTAGCACTTTAAAAGTCAAAAACCAACCTACTCTTCTGCATCAGGAGCACAGGTTTGGATAATCAACATTTTGAATGGTTCATTAAGTCTAATCGATATTTTATTTTGGTTATTGTTTGCATTTTAACCAAATACTGTCCTTGCTATATTGTCCCCGATTATGAAAGGAGCACAGCTTTGTCTTTGTTTCTCATGTCCTGAATTTCATTATCTTCTCATTCCAGTCCATTTCAATGTCCCAGTGCCTAAGTTGTTAATATTGCTTTCTTTCAACTTTTGCTATGTGCTGAATTTCCCCAGGTTCATGCTTCTTATTTCTTGATTTCCTCTGTAATTCTGTCTATATAATTTTGGACTTTCTTTTTCTACGTGACAACTTTTAATTCAATTAATCACTCTTCTGAGTGATAAGCAGTGAGTGATTAATGTCTGAAAGGTCAAACAATTGGCAATTCCAAATCTCAACCAACAAATGCTCGGTCCTACACATTGGTAAAAAAAAAATCAGTACACCAAATACAAGCTAGGCGGATATGACCTCATTGAGCTTCACTCTGTCAAGGACCTTGGAGTACTCATATCAAATGGCCAAAGCGCCAGAACTCACAGCATTGCCAAAAAGGCATTAAGAGTTGTAAAACTAATCTTACGAAGCTTCTCCAGTAATATTGAATTGCTAACTAGGGTATTGCTAGACCAATACTCGAATACAGCTCATCTGTGATGACCCGGGGCATGGCATAAAGGCAACACAGTCACATAAGTAAGAAGAGTCCCTTTAATACCTAAAACTTTGCCTCCAGTGTCCAGGTTACCTTCGGCTGGAGAAAAGACTGTTCCCAAGAACAGTCTTTAAATGGAGGAAATTCAGTCCGAAAACAAAGTACATACAAACTGTAAATAAAAATCCACACAAACCATGCTGCAGTAATTAGCTTGACAGGGCAGGATAAGAAATTGCATACTTGAAAGGCTGGCAAAACACATACAGTTGGGAAGACTCCAGGAACCCAGATAAGCCTCAACAATAGCAAATAACTCACAATTTGCTCTCAACAATTTGCTGTGCGCAGCCTCCCTTTTTAAATACTGTGTTCCCAGCTGCAGCTAATGAAGGAAATCGGGGCCCTTTCCTCCCCGGTAAGCCATGTAACTCATGTTGCTCCCTTCTCTGTTCCTCCTTGCGTGCCCTAGGATGAAGAGGGGGTGCACCTGGATCTTCCTCTGAATTCCCTCTGCCTTGCTCTGCCTCTCCCCTGCTTTGCCCTTCCCCAGTTTCTTCCCCAGCCAATGGAGCCACACTCCCACTCCCTGTCAGCTGCTCGGCCTCCCGCTCGGATTCCAACAGGGGCATGACATCATTTGTCTGGAATCCGCACTGTATATTGGGCATTAATACAATTGAGCGAGTCCAGAAATATTTCACGAGAAGAGTAGTACACTCCTGCTCGCAACAGAATACCCTACACCACCAGACTTGAAATTTTGAGCTTGGACAACCTAGAACTACACCAACCTACAGTTGGACTTAAGCGTAGTTCACAAAATTATCTGCTACAATGTCCCACCAGTCAGTGGTGGTGTTCAATTTTTTTTACTACTGATTCTGTGGGCATGGTTTGGTGGGTGTGGCAGGGGAAGGATACTGTAAAATCTCCAGTCAGAGGTGGTATTTGCCAGTTCTCTGGACTGCTCAAAATTTCCGCTACCGATTCTCCAGAACTGGTCAGAACCTACTGAATACCACCTCTGCTATCAGTCAATGACTACTTCAGCTTCAACCGCAACAATATAAGAGCATACAACAGATACAAACTCAATGTAAACTGCTCCAAACCTGATTGCAGAAAGTACGACTTCAACAACAGAGTGGTCGATGTCTGGGATGCGCTACCTGACTCTGTTGTTACATCCTCAAACCCCCACTCCTTTAACCTTAAACTATCCACTATTGACCTCACCCCATTCCTAAGAGGTCTGTAAGGGGCATGTGTTGTGGCTCCGGGCTTGGATTCAGCTCCTGTGACTGATATGAGTTCAAGTGAGGAGGACATGGCAGAAAAATATGAGCCGGCATGGCTCAGTGATTGGACTGGTAACCAGGATGAGGAGATGGACATGACAAAGGACGACAGACCTGATGTATTAGAATTGTCAGGACCTTTGACCTCCTCTGGTTCCTTATCTGATCAACAGCCGGGAATGGCTGACAGGGAAGTTTTGAGAGAGTCTTCTAGTGGAGATGAGAACTTGGAAAATTTGTGGTTAAATGTAAGGAACAGAAGACAGTTGAGAAGGCAAAATCAGCTGGAGCGAATGAGGAGAGCGAGTCAGTAAATTAGCACATTGCCTCAACGAGTATAAAAGGACACAGCTGGGCTGGTACAATTTGCCAGGAACAAAGTGATTTATTGAGTGAGGACGTTACAGCAAGAAGCTCTGAGATGAGATTTATTGCCAGGACTGGTTTGCCGGACAGAGTAAAGATTTATGCTGTGGATTGTGATTTCTGCCAGCTGTTATCTTGTAAGACTTCTTTCTGTTTGATTTAATTGTGAAACGGCTGCTTTCTGTTTTGTTCGTTTGAATTTTGAAGGGGAGTCATAACAGGCATGCATAAGTGCACAATTGTGCCTACCATCCCTGTCTTATTGTCCCCATTTATGCGTACCTATTTCCTCTATTCATACTCATGTTTATTCTTATATGTATTATCTTGTAAGTGATTGACAAGTCAAACAAATAAAATAAAACTTCCACATTTTTTGAATAAACTTATTAGGGATATTATCAAATAGAACTTATGCAACTACAAAACAAATACATTAAGAAAAAAAGGTGCAGAAAACAAAAAGATAAAAACGGGAAAAAAAAGAATCCTCCCCCCTTCATTCCTAGCCAATGTAATCAACATTAAGAACTTGTCACTATTTCTTAAAATAAAACCAAACACATCTTCTTTCTATATCTTCCCCCATTTTCTATAGACCCATCTCTAAAAGCTATTAATAAGCAAAATTGTAATAGGGATTACCAATATAATACGAACATTAACATTAAACTTACCTCACACAACCAGTATCTATCCTTTCCCTTTAAACAAATTCCTCTCCCCTCCTTCCCAGGTTTCCTCTCTAAATAATCACCAATTAGTCCCATTCAAAAATAAAAAATATATAAAAAAAGGAAAGGTGGTTGGCAAGGATAGAAAGGTACAGTATTGCAAAATACAGTGTATTACAATACGTTGGGATGAATGAAAATTGGTTAAAAATTTCCTTTTATTTCCTGCATCCAATTTCTTTTGGTCGCTACTTAATTCTTTTTTGGCACCTTACATAGTATTTTCTGCCTCAAAAAGATATCATGATGAGTCTCTGGATAAACGTGAAACAGAAAATGCATTTTCATTATATGAATGAAGCAGTCATGTGGCGTGGGTACAGATATTGAATTGGTTTGGTCGCTTCAAACTATGAGATGGGCGGCAAGGTTTTGATAATATTAAAAAAAAAAACCAGAAGAATTTGGTTTTGCCAAGTTTCAGATGAGACGAAGCCAGAGGACTCTTACAGCATAGGTACACTCCTATACTTCTTGCCTTTCCTCCTCTTTTAGCCTGTACACCCACAAAGCCACCAATCTTCACCCCTTCCGTCCTCTTAAGTTTTTGCATTTGAATTTAATCAGAGCATATCTGATTAGCCTACAATCCTCTTCTCTTCCCAATGTCTTCTTTTCCTTTAGTCACTTCCCCTGGCTTGCCTTTCCCCCACCCGCACTGCCTCCCACTCTAGAACATCTGTACCTAGAACTTGTGCCCTTTGGGTTGTATCCAGATCAAATATATGCACTTGGGTTTGGGCAGACTACCCAAATTGGTGAATTGTGTACAGAAGTGACAAATTCTTAGTACGTATAAAAAAGCTGCTATTTACTTGCAAACTAAGCTGGTATACTATATTTTAAATTCTTTGCAATGTCACAGCTAAATTCATTGATTCTAATGTAATGTTGCCCTTGTATATTTTTGCAATACCCCACCCCCCATTAGCTGCAAAATTGTGGAAATAGTTCATGCTGTTAATGAGGGTTAGGAGTGCGTGGTATCATTTCTGTCAATTTATACAATGTTAATTGGCATAAATTATATCGCATATCTTTTATAATTAGATATACAAATGATATAAACTGGAATGCTAATTTATGTAAATTGTTAAAAACAACCCATTATTATCTATTATTTTGAGGTAATGTTTGGACACAAATTTTGACTTTCCCATGTAGTCTGCTAGAATGAGATTTTATTATATGCTTCTCTATTGAAGCATCTACTATAAACAAGTTTTTGAAAAGTATGTCCTTGATAATTTTTTCTTTAGGCTACATGGTTCTCTTCATTTAGTCTGTCTACTTTCATGGAAAAACAAGTTTCAAATTTGCCATGAAGAACAAATGTTCGATAAGATCATGCTGACTTAAGTACAAAATGTTTTGTTCTGTTCTGTACAAATACCCCATTTCAAAAGAAATGTAAGATCTATTTTTTTTAATACAAGAGCAATGTAATTGATATGACCTATTAATATATGCACTGCATTTTCAAGATTTAATGTGTTTCATTGCAGGCTAAGTACACATCACACAAAAGACAGCCATGTTCACAATACCAGAAAATTAGGCTGCTAATTGTGTTTCCACTAAAAAAAAATAGTCCTATCTGAAAACTGACAAAGAGCGTGTCCCATTAATGATAAAGAATGAAGAACTAGTGTCAAATTTAAACAATTTTATTCCAGTTCTCCTCATATATTCAAATTTCCACATACTTCCTTCCAATTCTCAATTCGGGCTTTCTTTGACTTTTCTTCTCCAGATATATCCTACTAGCATCAGTTGAATTTTTCTTAAGTTATAGCCATCTTACTTATTTGACAGACTAATCAAATAGCGAGACCACAAATAGAGCAAAGCAGAGGAGTAATGAATCCAACGGGGGTCTTTAAGTTCTTAAAAATAAACTGCTCCTGGCTGACTGAAGACTTCTCCACCAATGAGGAGAAATAATGGTTGCTGTGAAGAACAAAACCTTGACGAGTAGACTGGTTCTTTGGATCTCTCTGGAGCAGAGATTGGGAAATCGCCTAGGAATCTTCTGAATGGCCTTTGCAAGGAGACCTTAAAACAGTAGTTGATTTGAGGTCTGGGGAGCACAAGGGAGACGATAAGCTTTGCTCTCAGCAGTGGCAGATCCTTTTGTAAAAACGTCAAGCCAACCAAGCTCCCTTTCTAATCACTTTCTGAACTATTCAATTTAACCGCTTTATGGATATTAGAGATTTTCAAACTGTGAGCTTAATTTGGCACCTAGTGAGTTTAACTTCTTCATTGGATTAAAAGCAATTTGAAACAGAAACTTAGGAATTTAAAATAATATGCAATTAGCAAAAAAAATAAAATAAACGTTTTAAGGAAGTTTTTAAATGAACCGGGACACGAGAGAGATTTGGTGTATTAGATTTTTGCTCTAAGATTTGAAAAACAAGTGCATAATTAAATACTCACGGGAAGCAATTGAAACGGAACTAAAACCATATTAGGAACCAAGGCTTGCTAATTATAAATGGATATTAAAAGGAATTAAAGGACCAGGCAGAAGAGCAATAAATGCTAACAAGTGATAATATATCGAAGCCTGTGATGCCATAGAAATTATTTAGAGGTCAAGATTGTGCAGAGCAAAAAGATAAAATAGACAAGTAGTCCTCGATTTACAAGTTCTTTTAGTGACCGTTCAGTTACAACGGCACTGAAATCACTTATGACCATTTTTTACATTCAGATGCTTGTCAACTGATTCATATTTATGGTGTCAGATTCACTTAACAACCATGTTGCTATCTTAACTATGATGCTTCACTTAACTGTGGCAAGAAAGGTTGCAAAATGGGACAAAACTCACTTAACAAATGTCTTGCTTAGCAACAGAAATTGTAGGCTCAATTGTGGTCGTAAGTTGAGGACTACCTATAGTTGACCTTACTGCCTATAGTTGTTGTGGTTCGCCAGCAGCAGGTGCGGACGGTTGAGGTCTTTGAGAGGGAGGACTCAGATGAGGGGTCTGTGTGTGATGCAGGGATGGGGCCAGCATTATCGGAGAGTGGGGTGCTGCCTTTGGAGGTTGTGGAGTCTGGCAGCAGTGACGAAGAGAACCTCGGGGAGCCTGTGCTCAGTGTGCATGTGCGCAGGGCTACCTGAAGAGCTGCTGAAGCAGCACGGACAACTCAGGAGTAAGGTTGGAAAGTGATGGCTCCACCCATAAGGGATAAAAGACAGCCTTCGGGGTTGGCTTCTTTGCAGGAAGCAAGTAAGTTCTTTCTACTTAAGAGTCCTTGTTGAAGCTCTGCTTGCTCTGGTTTATTTTTTGAAAGTTCTGGCTTTGGATTTTTATCTGCAATTAGTCTTTTGTTCTTGGCAGCCATTCTTAATCTTGAAAGGGCTTGCTCTTATCTGGAACAATTAGTTTTGAATGACTCTTGGTAGTGAATGCACAGAATTCACAGTGCTGTATTAAAAAGGTTTGCTTTCATACATTGTGTTTGTTTGATTTGAACAAGGCCTGGGTCAGAACAATAGTTGAACTATTTGATATTACTCGTTAACTCCCAATATGCTTTAACTAGGATTGAAAAGAAAATGATTTCTGAATTGTGTAGAAAAAAGTTCTAGCTATGAGAAGCATTTACAAGTAGTCCTTGTCTTACAACAGTTTGTTTAGTGACCAGTTACAACAGCAATGAAAAAAATGACTTATGGCTGTTTACACTTATAACCATAGCAGCGTCCCCATCACGTGATAAAAATTCAGATGCTTGGCAACTGACTCATATTTATTGTCCCAGGGTCATGTAATTTATCCTATGCCACCTTCTGACAAGCAAAGTCAATGGGAAAGCCAAATTCACTTCACAACCGTGTTACTAACTTAATAATTGCAGTGATTCATTTAACAACTATGGCAAGAAAGGTCATAAAATGGAGCAAAATTCACTATCTGTTACATTAATTTTGGACTCTGTTGTGGTCATAGGTCAAGGACTACCTGTGTTTGTAATGTTTAAAGGTGAAAATTAGTATATTCATTTATGCTCAGGCTAAATAATGAACTGCTATAGCGTGTTCATACAATTATTATTTGGTGCACAGCATCAAAATTTGGGCGCTTGCTACTTAGCTGTATTTATGGGATGTGCTCCAATAATCCCCACCTACTGTATGTTCCCACACCCCACTCAATTTCTCTGCTCTTTTGGCACTCTTCACTCAATAGCTCCTGCTGTCCTGAATTCCACACCTCTTGAGAGCTTCACTGTCCTCTTGCTGACAAGGGATGTCCAGCATGGCCCTTCATGTAGCAGCTGCTGAGTACGCATGCACACATCTTCCCAAGGTTGCATGCAGCCTTCTTGAAACCTTGAAGTCTCCTGGGCCTAAGTCACAAAGGCTGTGGCCAAGTGCACCTTCTCAGTGGCAGGAGCAAGAAGTGAAAGTCAGCTGGGGTCAGTGAAGCACAGGACGAGGACAGCTCCAGCTGGAGCTTCATACTCAAGCACTAGTCTGGGCTGAGGTGGGTGCAGCTTTGCACTATGGATCTGGGGCGGCTGGGGCTTTGCTAAAGGCCAGGGTTGAGGTGTTCCATCATCACCACCAGATGGCAAGAGATATTGGGGGCGGCAGGAGTGAGAGAATGTGGAGCTATGCTCACACCAGGCCATGGCATCAATTTACTCACCTGCCAGCCTACTAAGGACTCCCAACTTCCTGCTGGCTTTACCTCTGACTTTGCCTGTTGGAAACTGGCAGAAAGTCACAAAGAGTTGCTTACTTAATGACCCATGATCTTCACTTAACAATCACATCAGAGACTGCCAGGATTGAAACAGCTAAGCAATGTGTCCATGTGATGCTGTATTTTACAACTGCATTGCTTAGTGATAAAAATGTTGATCCCAATTACCAGGACTACCCATACAACATTTAACTATAATATCAAAATTTCAAAGCCCAGAACCCCCTACATGTATGAGCAATGGTAATATTGGAAGCAGTAATTCTGGAAGACCACGGGTTCTTCATGTTTGCTGCACATTACTTTGTCATTTTTTGTGAAAACTTACTGTTTTTCAATATCAATGAAAATCCAAAAAAAGTTTGTAAACAGAAGTGAGGCTTAGTTTATTCGATTGGTTTGGTTTATTGGTTTGACACTATAATAACTTGAATTCACATATATGTAAGCTGTTAAATGATAACATAAAACAGAATTTACACACAAACTGCTACTCATATTAGCTATGTGAAGCTACATCAAAAACACAATCCTAGGATGAAACCAGTCTCAAGATGTATGCTCCAATTCTAGGCAGGATACTTTGAAGCATGTCCAATTATATGTTAGTAATTGGTCTAGGATTAGAGCTGAAGTACAAACATAAAAAAGTAAAACTATTTACAATGTATGGTTCAAATGTTGCTTTTGCTTATACTGAAGATGTATGAAAAAGTACTAAATTCAATTGCAAGCAAGAGCCCAGAAAAATAATACTGGTCAGAAGAGCAAGAGTTGACTTCCTATTAAAATAGGACAGAAAATCAATGACTCAGAGAAAACACAAGATTTATTAAAAGCTGGCTATCACTTTTCCTATTCACTACTTAATATACCAACAAAAAGCATTTCCACTTTAAAAAAAACACCACACAATTTTGATAAATATTCTCAAAAGTGAAATGAAATAATGCAAGTCCTTTGAACAATAAGATCAGTTGGACTTATATTAGAATGTGGAATGTTGCAGGTAAAAATAGTAACTGTTTATATTTAACTGAATGTGAACCTTGAAAAGTTTAATGCGGATGACATTCTCTGTGGTCTTCAATTGCTAAAACAGCTGTCAGTACCGTAAGATTGAATCTGCACAGAAATGATGAATATCACCCCATTTTTTAGCAAAGATCTGACAATGTATATTTTGCTATAACATTAAACACATCACAGAATTAAACTTCTATTTAACTAAGATCTATGTAGTATAGCATTCCCAATTTTACTGCATTGAGATTAGCAAAAAATAAAAAATAAAAAAAATCTCCTTAAATTGGCATGCCTTTCCCCCCTTTTGTTTAAGCCTCTTTTAGTTTCTGATCTTCAGCCATTTTCTCCATATGTTTCTGTAACACAGAAGAGACTTGAATCAAAGTTTGTTAAGTAACAAGGCATGTTTAACTATAATGCAAAATTACTCAGCAAAATTACATCTGAAGTTACATATATACATGACATTACCAAAGTAACACTCTTACTTATTTCAATTTCAACTTCACTGAGTTTATTCATAACCGTTGTCAACAATTCTATCTTTTTGGCAGAGACTTTCACTAAATGCAATACAAAACAAACATACTTGCATCAAATCTCTCATTTGACCTTTTCTTTTAAACATGTAGGTATGAATTGTATTGTTGTATGTATAGCTCTCCTCTTTTAGATCATATTGCTTTACCATTTCAGTGAGTGTTCTAGCAGTTTTCCAGAAGTAGAATTCTCCAGATTTCTCATTCCTGGAAAAGTAGTTTTTTCTACATTCCTAGATTCTATCTATTAAAAAAAAAATCTTAGAAAGTGCATGAAACAGAAAAGGGTACATCTTAATAAATTTTGCCTCACCTTCAACTTTTGATAATGTGCAAGGCTGCTGCAATGAACTTTTTTCGCAGAATCTTCGTTAGTATAGAACAAGGAACACAATTTGCAATAAAATCCAGTTCTGGGGACAACATAGTTCACACCTAGATATAGAGCACAAATAAGGAAGTTGCAAATTCAACAGAGACTATCTGGAATGTCAAGATCACAGAATCATAGAGGTAGGAGGAGATAGTTACAATAATTCATTTTTACTGAACAGAGAAAGTTACATTCTAAATGTAAATCAATGACCTTTTAAAAGCCAAATCTACAGATCCAAATATTTTTATTTATTTTTATTTTATTTATTTATTTTTAATACAACCATTCTATATTAGACATTTAAAGGGTCTCAAAAACTATTTGCATATATTACATGATTGATATTCAAGCATCTATTGGCTCTCTGAGAGAAAGTATCCAGCATTTTTGCGTGTGTGTACGTGTTGCATGCGTGCGTGCTTCCGTCTGTCTATCTATCTGCAGTATATGTTATACAAAAGAAAACCATTCTTACCAACTGGAACATTTGGCTGATATGGTCCAATTCTATGTTCATCCTGAACAGTCTTATTTTCTTGCACGGTAGTGTTATCTTTTTCATCTGTCATTGTGCTGGTTGCCCCTTCAGATGGTTCCAACTTCTCTGTTTTAGTGCCATTTTCAAATGTCTCATCTTCCTGCTCCATTTCTTCTGTTTTTTCAGCTGAATTGTCCTCAGTTTTTATAGACGATTTCATTAGGCCAGCTTTATACTGTTTCTGGTGATCTGCATCTTCCTCATCACCAACTTCATCAAGAGTGACAAAGCCTTTCATGCTTCTTGGGAAATTACCTACATGTCGCTGTTGAGACAACGTATCCTCCTTTTAAAACCAACATGATTAAAATATTTAGATATCAAATTATAAACAAGGCAGTTGAAGATGCCAATACAGGTAGTCCTTGACTTACAACAATACTTTTAGTGACTGTTCAAAGTTACGTCACTAAAAAAAGAAAATAATTTTTCATATTTATTACAGCCTCATAATCCTGTGACCAAGGTTTAGATGCTTGACAACTGGTTCATATTTATTAAGGTTGCAGGGTCCCCAGATCAAGTGCACATCTTTTGCAATCTTCTAGACAAACTAATATCAATAGGGGGAACTAGATTCACAACGTTATTAATTTAACTGCAATGATTCATTTATCAACTGTGGCAAGAAAAGTCATAAAATGGGGCAAAACTCACTTAACGTCTCACTAACCAACATACATTTTGGGCTCAGTTATGGTCATAAGTTGAGGACTACCTGTACAAGGATTTAAAACTTTATTCATAAAGAAATTGACAACTCATGCATGCCAGAAGGGAAAATATTTTTGGGGTCAATCCTTTCTTGGCATGAAATTTCCATTTTAATTTTTTTTACTCTCTCACACAGAAAGCATTCAAGGTTTATAATTGTCTCAAATTTCTTTTTCCTGCTTTAGCTCAGTTCCAAAAACAACTGTTATGCAAAAATACTGCATCAATTTACCTTTTTCAGATGCTGCTTGCTTGCTAGAATAACGTAAGTAGGTAGGATACTCAAATTCTTTACTGAACTACTTTAAAGTTCAGGGGAAGCCACTAGAATATAAACTGACAGCAAATCCCACTCCTTACTATCACTGAGGATGTTACCTAGTTTGGGTAATGAAATGTCCATAAGGAAACCACCATGCTCAGAGAGCACCAAGGACCCCTCATTTCAACCCTGAGCTACTAATATTCTCCTTTATTGGCACTTAAAAAGTTCACTCTGTTATGCAATAACGGCAACATCCAAAGCAGATTTACAGTCAATTGCCAAGGAAGAAAATTGTTTGTAGGCATACAATTCAAAACTTTTCTCAAACTGAGATTTAAACATTCTGACTTGCAAAAAAACACAATAAGAAAACTATTCTTGGTTAAAACGCACTTTTTCCCCCCCTTTTAGTAATATGTTACCTTTTTGAGTTTTTTCGCAGTATTGTCTTCAGGTTTTGCACCATCTTCTTCAGCTGCCTCCTTTCCTTCAGCAGTTGTGTCAGCCAAGTTAGCAACATCGGTCTCATCTGCTGCTGAGCTGCCACTCTCCAGTAATGCTGCTGCTTCCTCGTCGTCTACTAGCAATTCATCTTCAGATTCAAGGAGTAAATTTGTTTCCTCTTGTCCGCCCTCTTGTGCATCTGACCTTTCTGGCTCCTCTCTCTCGTCATCTTTGCCTTCAGTACTGTTGGTTTCAGCTTTCTCATTGTCATCCGTCTTACATTTCTTTTCACTTCCAGAATCTTTGCTATCTGGAGAGATTCCTCTTTTTCTATATCGTAAGGAAAAGAACATGTATCATCTATGACATCAGAACACGTATTATCTAGGACATTTTGTATTTTTCAGCACATTAATTAACCGAAGGATTTTACCTTGGTTTATCTTTCTTCAACAATTCCATTCCTTTGTTAGGAATCTGAAACAATATTTCAAATTAAGACATGGAAACAAAACATTAAGGATTGCAATAGTACAAATATACTCCATGGTGCACAGAAAACCCAGATATTTAAATACATTATCTGAATTAATTCTGAGTTAATCTTATTGTAATTCTTAAAGCAATCTAATCTGGATCTGAAAGCTACTAACGTAGGATTTTCCTCTGGAGGGATGGAAAGGGTTTAGTTTTTTTGTCAAGATTTAGAAACTGGAACGGGGTGGGGTGGGTATTTCTGCTCTCATTTGTTTCCAAACCTCCACACAAGTCTCTCGTTCAACTTCAAATATTAGTAATAGCCAATCATATTCCTATTTCACTATGCACATTAAACAGGCTATGTACATCAAACTCTTCGTACTATTTACTGCACTTAAGAATCCAAACTTACGCTAACTCAAGTACTTACTCGTAATATTAATCTCTTGTATTTTTCAGATAAATCAACTTTCACACATCTGCCCTGGAACCAAAGGGCTTTGTTGGAACAGTGCTCCATCATAGCAACAGCGTCTTCTCTGGTCTCCATTTCTATAAAAGCCTATAGAAAAAATTATACAAGAGTTCAATTCACATTTTTTAATTAACAGATTTTGAGGGGACAAAGCTAGGTAACATTTCATCATAAATCAATCATGAATACCTTGTAGCAAAGATAAAGCAGACGGATACAGAATTCTGGTGGACAGGTTAGATTTTCATATGCGCATAAAGCATGTTGGGATCAAAAGCTGCTAAAAACTATTTTCCTAAATTACAACAACGAAAGGATGGCAAAAGGTGCTTAACCACTACATGCAAGAACTTTTTTTTAATTCTACATTTCTATTGAGATAATACTATAAGAATTACCTGACTCTTCATTCTCATCAATATATAATTTTTTATTTTTCCATAGGGCTCAGCTAATTTAAGTACAGCATTATCAGAATAGCCTGAATGAGGCAAATTACTGAGATGGATCACACGACCAAGCTGCTGCTTTGGGGGCTCAAATTTCTGATCAGACTTTCCTTCTGGTTCCTGAAGAGTTAAGAACATCAATACACGACATTGAATGTTCAGTATTAACATCGAAAGAGATATAATAAAATAAAAAGATTAAACATTAGAAAAGAAATGTGAAAACAAAGTTTACCTTTATTCTTTTATATTTTTGCGATAAATGGACTCTTACAGGTTTGCCAAAAACTAGGGCTGGTGCTGTTGAATAATATTCTACTGCAGCTTGTGCATCTTCAGTGGTAGCCATTTCAATAAATGCCTAAAATAAAACAAAGACAACTCATGGAGGTTTTTTTTTTTTTTCAAAAAAAGATGAGCAAGAATAAAAATCAAGGAAAGAACTGTATCAACATTGTTATTTTACTGCTACAAATATACATTAAAAGTCATGATCTTGTAGAGAATTTTTTTTCTTTCAAGTATGCAAACATTTTTAAGTGACATATGGTATCCTTCAGATCTGTCTTTCTCAACATATGCTTCCTTCTCTTAGTTATATTTGTTCCAGTCAAACCTTGTATTTCAATTAATTTATATACTGCTTAAAAAACTGAGGGCCAATAAAAAGCATTGATGTTAAAATATTCCATCATATTAAAGGACTAATACTTACTTCATTAATTTTGTTCAGTATGAGATGATTTGTGATGATTCCAAATGGTTTAACAAGCTGTAGTAGCTGATACCTCAGGTTTTTCCCTCTCTGAAAGTCCATGATATGCACAACTCTACTTGTCTCCTGTTAATTGCCAGCAGTAATAACCAAAACATTCAGTAAAATGAACATAGAAATGAACTTTCTAATCTTAGTTCAGAAGCAAATTTTAAGCAATTTTGTAACAAGCAAGTCAATAAAAACAATGGAATGAAAATGCTCATTTAATTCCTGCCTTAAATTGAAATGTACACCATTCACAAGTGTTATTCAGTTTGCAAGTGTATCATCATAAACCAGCTTTGCAAATGCACTCCTTATTAGAAACTACTAATATTGGACACAGAATCTTGAACAGACACAGGATGGGGATATCAAGTCACCTTGCCCACAAGAGCAGTTACATGCTGCTAGGGCAGTCTTTATCTAGGCAAATTAGGGTTGAATTTCACAAGATGGAACAGTCTTCCATTGAACATGCTATTGGGAGTCCTTGATTTTAAAGCCATTAGTAATGTCTCAAAGTTATGACTGGTTCTTGTACTTATGAACATCAGCGTCCCTGCAGTGATGTGACAATTTAGATGCTTGGCAACCAGCTCACATTTAGTATAGCTGCAGAGCCCTACAGGCATGTAACTGTGATTTGTGATCTTACCAGCTGATAATCCAGATAGTGGATAATCTTTTTCATAAAATGCAGTACTCATTTCAAGTAAAAGTAATTGCTGAATAAAAATCTTAAATGTAAATTAATTTTACAGAGAACTGAATACTAACCACTCTGCCTTTCTGCATGTGTCTAGGTCCTTGCATGTTTCCATTTCCAGCTATCAAAATAGTGTAAGAGAAAAATATAGTTAATTAGAAAAGAGTGATGACTTTGTGGCACATGATAATGCAGAACTTTAAACAGAGTGGCTTAGAATATATCTTAAATTTTAGCATATCAAAGAAATATAACTCAAAGTCATATCCACTCAATCACACTTCAATTCCATATAGCATTTATCTAATATGAACAAACATATTGCAAATGTCAGGTAACAATGTTATCAGGATGCATACTGAACACCCATTTGACATTCTTAGTCAGCTTTTTTAATTTAACAAGTTCTACTATAGATGATTTGACTTCACTGTATGATTACATCCTGATATATCGTCCTGACAGAAACTGATTTAATCTTATTACCCCTTGACCCAACAGGTGGTCCTCCCAGATGAAATGGAGGGGGAGGTGGCCCCAAAATTCCTGGGGCTGGATTTGTTGACTGCAGCATAAAAGGATCACCCCTAAAAGACACAAACACAAAATAGATCTTTTGTTTTGGAAAATTATCTTTCACAACTTCCCATTCAGCTTTATGCACATAGTTATAAGAAATCAGATATATGAAAATAAACAGTAACACATCAATAACAATTTATTTCCATAGTTTGATATCTGCAGGTAATATTAAAATGACTGAATAGTAGCAACACAGATGTCAGATAATAAAGCTATCAAACATTTTTTTGAACCTCAGAAAGATACTTCTAATATGTCCCTAGAATTAGAAATGTAAGAAATAGACTCAAAGTTCAAATAGCTTATCAATGTAGATTCTAACCTATACTGCTTTCAATTTGTACGAAAACATAATTTACGAAGTCTCTAATGTGACACTGGACAAACTTAATCAGAGAAATTCAAAAAGGTGCACATCAGAAAAGCATGAATTTTTAATGCAAAATATAAGCAACTCTACTTAAACCACTCAATGTCTAATGCATGTTTTAGACATTGGGAGAAATGAGTTTATGTGTTTATGTTTGTATATGCCCCTACCCAAAGAAAAAAAGGACAGTGAGTGTGTTCTGTCATAAGGAAGCATTAAATATTAAAATATTTCAGTTGAAACAAAAAAATAAGTAGGACAGAAGGGAATGAAGAAAAATGCAACAGATGGATAATTTGGTAATAACATTTTTCCCTTGTGATTTCTCTTGTGCCATTTTTTTAAATGGGAAAAAGCAAGCTTTACTTACAATCCATGTCCAGTATCGTTATCAGGATTCCATTCACAATATCTTAAAAAGAAATAGTCAGATGAATCATTCTCTGGATCCTAACTGTTGGGACTAGAAATACCATGCATTGTATTTTGGATCTGAGGCGCAAAATTTTAAAAGAATAAATAAGTATAAACTGATCATTAATTTCAGAGCCAACACCAATATTCTCAGTAATTTTAAAATACTGAATTTTGAATTATATCAAATTATATCTAAACAATGTATCTTTTCTAAAGGCATCTATAAATATTATTTTAAATTCCAGATTCTACTACATGCATATTGAAAGCTTCCATACATTTTAATTTATACAGTCATGATAGAAAAGTCTTATTAATGACAACATTAGTTTGTAGGTTGAAATAAAATATGACAATTTATTGAATCAGTGGACACGAGAGGAGAATGGAAGTCAATACTGTGGTCATGCAATTCAGCAGATTTGCCAAAGGTTCAGGATCAAACAGTTAAACGTATCAAAAGTATGTGGTCAAAAAAGGCCCAATTAAATATAACAAGTAGCAACTTTCAAATCTGTGTACAAGCAATCTATTTTTTAAAAAAGCCTATTATAATACAATCCAAGATTATTTTATGTTTTAAAGTAAATGATTCATTTTCAAGCAAAATACTACAATTATGAAAAAATTATATGTTCAAATGCATACATTTCAAGGAGAAGTTGACAACGTCGACTGTGACTTGCTCCATTGATATGTTGATTCCACTCCTGCAGAAGTACAAAGTTGCGATGTTCAGAAACACCATTTCCAGAATACTATGTAAACACATACAGATTTTGCCTTATGCTATCATTAAAAAGGTACAGAAACTGCCATCCAAACAAAAATCTATTTTGAGTTTCGTGTACTGCACAGTAATTTTTCATGAAATAATTTAAGTTCAAGTCCTTCCAAGAGATGAAACATGCATTTTATGTTTCTTTTGTTTAATTTGTTTTGTTTAATCCAATTTCAAGTTATTTCAAGATATTCAACTGGGCCTAGTGCAAAATGCTTCTGCATATGCAAAATGTAACAGCAAACTATTACTAGATCTGTATCAGCTGTAGCTTGCTATGTAATATCTTGGGTGTGAGAGTATTTCTCAAGAGGAGCGTGTATAGGGAGTTCAGGACAATACAGTAGCTAGAGATATTGATAAACATTTTTTAATGGTATTAGAAAAATGTTTTCCATTGCTAAATCATCGCTGCATACACAATAGCTTGTAAGTTTAATATTCTAAGTTTTGTAGAAAAAAATATATTAAACCCTAAATGTACGCTAATCACATCCAGCAGTCTGTCCTTCAACCAAATAGAACAATTTGAACCTCAAGATAATTGGTGGGGGAGGGGGGGAAGAGAGAGAAAACAGGTTGTTTGATCCTGCTTTTTAAATCGTAATTTACCAAAAGCAGTCGTCATCTAAAAGTCAACCCTTCATGATAATGGCCAGTGCACACATCGTCCCAGCCAAGGGACTCAGGATAGGACAAATATTGTAGTTACACCCCTAAAGTTCAATTATTGGTTTTAATATTAAGAATATTAAATACTAGATGTTATCTGCAATTAGCTCTAGCTTGTTTTCTAAATTTGTTTTAACATCTACATAAAATCAATTCACTTTATAATTTTCTTCATATTACTGGCTCCAAAAATTGTCAGCATAAAAAAATAAAATAAAACCAAACAGTCCCATTTCACCTTACCTTTGCAGAATAACTATTTTATTATTTTTCAATGTTGTCCTCACGATTGCAAAGCTACTGTTTTAAAGTAAATTACTGAGTGCTTCCACAAGCACAGAACTGGGACCAACTGCAGAATTATAATCCAGCGAATCTCATCCTTATTTTAATTTAAAAATTGTTTTAGCCAAATCTACCGGCTAAATCCTGAACTTGAAAAGCATGTCAGAAGCCACCAATGGCAAACTTCTCTACTGTTACCAAGAAAACTATATGGCTGCATCTATGTAGTCAAAAATAAAGCTAAACTCAAAAGTTCCTTTACCTCTTGAAGTAAGATGCTCTTCCTAATAACTACCAGTTCTAGCAGACAAGTCATAGAATAAACATTTTCACTCACAAACCAGAAGAACCCAATAAAAGATCTTTTTTGGTTTGTTTGTTTTTACTGCTTTTCTAATGCATTCTTGTGCAAATCCTTTAAATTACTTTTGCTATATGTGGCTATGGAGATATTTTGCAAGAAGAACGTAATTGATTTTTCCACCTTATTTTCCTAAT